GATTCCACTTCCCCATCTGCACGACTCCAGTGGACAGCTCTCCTCTGGCCCAAACTCATCATCTGGACCTGCAGCACGGCTTCAGGATCGCCAGATCAGCCCAAGCAGGATCGGCAGAGTAGAAACGGCATAGCGGCATAGCCATGAAAAAGATTGTGGTGAAACCAAGCGAACAGGTATCAAAATACACCGTCTCGTTTCAAGCACAGCATCCGTAACCAACAGCAGCTTCGCGTCTGATCTTCCAAGTCGTGATCTTCCACGTAGTTCGTCGAATCGTCGCACAATCTCCACTTGTCTCTCGCCTTGTGGACAAAGTCCATCAGCCTCCAAGATGAACGGAGAGGTCTGCCCCTTGGGATGTCAATTCGCTCTTGTTACTAGTAATGCCAGGAGCTATTACTTGCGTCTTTGCTCCCAGTAGCGATGCCCTTTGTTACTAGTAGCTTCTTGTTACTAGGTCCCCCACCGGGGTGAAAACCAACTCAGGTGAACTGACTCCCCCACTCAGCGGTGAAGCGAACTGAAGCGGCCATGGCTCCATTCCGTTCATTTTGTTTCGTGGACTTTCATTGATCATAGAAGAAAAAAAAACATAGAGAAACAAACATTCCGTTGCAGCATCCAAGGTTGCGGCCTTCAATGCAAGAAAATAGGAAAGCGACACGGCATCCTACTTGCATTTGCAAAAACCACCTTCTTCAAAGAGCACGGAATCACGTCTAAGCACCCAGAAGCGAAAGGACATCGTCTTCGACATCGGTCACGATCATCGGTCACATCGTCTTGAAGAAAAGGAAAAGAAGGTACCTGTGTAGCTCTGCTTCAGGGAGACCTCCCAGGCGTTGTGGTGTAACAGGATATCCTGTGAGGAAACAGGATCCTGTGAAACAGGAAGTCCGCCTGTTCGAGGCTCCGAGCCCTTTGGGCCACCCAAGCCGACTCGATACAGAACGAGTTGACCCAAGACTCGAGTGCATGCGGGTTGATTGGGTTCCGCTTGGGACGCTCACAATGAAACGACCCTGATGAGCCTACCAATTGAATGAGACAAACCCGCTATTGGGCTTTGGCAAGCAGGGTTCGCACACATCGAACCAAAATAGAACCAATCACACTTCCAAGCAACCGCATGCAAACGCTTTTTCTTTGCTAGCATGGAACTCCCCGAACTTGAACGTGGCTTCCCGGGCTTCCCGAGCCGTTTCCCTGGAAAAAATATCAAGGTCACCTCTGGGATTTTCGTGGGAAAACCCCATCCCCAAGGCGAAGCTCGGTGATTTGGGTGATTTCAGTGCGACATCGACAGGCCCGCTCTCCGGGCTCTTCGGGCTCCACCCTCTGAGGCTGTCGACCATGAGAGCCAAGCCCACTGAGTCGAACCTGGGATGTGGATGAGGAGCAAGCAAGGGTCATTCCTGCTGGAAACTCAATGGCTTGGATGATTCGGTGTGTCCTCAAGCTCTGCAAGGCCCCTCGCTATTAGGCTCCTTTTGGGTGTTCGTAATCCCCTGTGTGAGAAGGAAAAAAGATCGCCTCCCAACACATGGGTCTGCAAGAGTCTGGTGGTGTTGTTGAGAGCCGCACCCGACATGTCTGGCGAACCACAGATGTCTGGCACCACATGGCCCTACGACTTGCAAGGCGGCACCATGAGAAAAAACTCCACATCTGGCGTTTTAAGCGCACCTCCAACCCGACCCAGAGCAAGCTCATCGCATCTATAATACAGCCGCTGAAAAAAAGATTCGACCTGGCGATCTATTCGATCGCGACTTAGGATGAGGCCAATCGCGCAGGAGGCCGCCAGCATCAATGCCCTTCTCCCCTTCGAAGGAGACAGACCTCGAAGGAGTCAACAAAAACGATGCTTTTCTCACATGGAAGGCTCGCCTTTCTCGGTCACCCCCCCGACGCGGTGCGGTGACCGACGGATGTGAGAAATCAGGACTGAAGGGTGGGCTCTGGAACACCTTCGCTCGAGCTCCTCCGTTTGACAGCAACCTCACCGACCTGTTGGGTCTTCGGATTTGGAATTTCCAACCACGGGGTGCCAGGGAGTGTGGGATCCTCCGTCCTTCCAGTCAGTCCCAGCGGTCCGGACCGTCGACCGTCCGGACTGCGGATCAGTCTTGGCGCCAAGCACGTGGGGTTCGCGCCAAGCGGCTCACTCCAAAGCATATGGCTGCAGTGGAGCCCCTAGTAGCGTCCTTGCTCCTAGTAGTAAGGCCAGGAGGCCCTAGTAGCGTCCTTGTGGCTACACTATGATATTCCAATATGGCTTCAGTGGAGTTGCAGACCCAGGCACCAAATGCCCCAATCACAAGTGACCGGGAGGTATGTGTCTTCTTTCGGAAAGTGTTCAAAAACATCTGGTGCTTTCTTTTGGGTCACCACTGGTCACCACAGCCATGGTGGACAACTCTCCAGACTCCATTGGTGGCGAAGAACACACCGTTGACTCGGTCGAGTTCATCACAACCCCCGAAAACGCTCCCTGCGAGGGGAACGGTGTCCTGCAAATGATGACCCTGTTTCTATAAATACAACCCCCCTGTTGAACACCCCTTGTTTGTGGGGGGAGTTCATGTTCTTCCCACTATGCCATCCACTTCCATGATGCTTGGAGGAGTAGTTCTAGATTGGAGAATCTCTGTGGCCAATCGACGGACGGTGCAGCCGTCGGGCACCAATCGACCGGTCCCAAGAGGGGCTCTTAAACTGAGCGCCGATGCATGTTCGGCGCCAGTAGCTCAGCGACAGGACAATGGAAGAAAATATTCATGGCCTCCTGGCATATGATGACTGAGAGTGTTTATCGAATGCTGAAAGGAATGTCAGGAGACTGGTTGCAAAGCCTTAGGGCCTAAAGGCTCTTGAAAAACGTTCCACAAATTCCTGGCATCATTAGCTCTAGCCTCACTAGCGATGATGATACTCTCTTCCAAGAACCCCGCGCAGTGTCACCTTTCGTGGTCGTGATAACGGCTCGGCCTGTTCGTGTATATAAAGATATTGGCTGGTGTTTAAAGAATGTTGGACTTTGAATGTTTCAAGCAATCAAGTCATAGTCAAAGTGGTACCGATATCATGGTGCTGACAGGGGCGAAACCGCACAAACAACCGCAGCTTCATAGTATACTGCAAACAAATGAACAAAAAGCAATGCGGAGGCCAACAAAGGAAACATGCAGCTCGTCCTCTCACACTAACATCCAATACCACACCTTCACCAGGCATCCGAAAACCACTGCATCCTTGCCTGCAACACGTGTTTCCGGCGCACGAAGAGGTGCAGGGCCGAGGGGAGCAAATGGGCACTGCCCATCTCACGTTGCAGTTCTCGACGCCTTCGCACCAGCAGCTCCTCACAGCGTTTGGGCGCAATGGCTCCCAAACTGGAGATATTGTTTCCTACTGAATGCTGGGAACCATCACAGCAAGAGTATCATCTTTCAATTGACCGTAGCATGCGACCGTTGCAAGAAAACATGTTGAGTTGTCATGCATGTGACAGAAACCTGAGCGGATGGACAGACCATGAGATGCACTTCGTCGGTTGGTACGTTTCACGGAAAGACTAGACCAACCCTCCTCAAAAGAATTCCTGAAAGCACCTGCGAAAGGGTTCTCCGCAAAGAACGGCTGCCAATTTCAATTGTCCAACCATCATCGTCATCATCATCATCATCATCATCATCATCATCATCATCATCATCATCATCATCGCTACCTTGCGTCATTTCCTGCTGTGCTTTCGGGCCACCATCTAGTTTGGCCACTCAAAAAATTAGCTGGGGACACAGCCCGGCTTGCCGACCAAGGTTTTCTATCTCAGTTTGGTTTCACGGTGCATTGCTCTTGACTCTCCCGTTGTAGGCCGGGGTTTGGAACGCCTTTTTCCTGTCGTGTCTGTGGCCACTCCATCTGCCAGACTACGCGGGCAGCGATGAAATGTCCAGCAGCAACACGAGCGACCCTGGTGATGGAGGGTTTAAGCTTGCTCGGGCACGCATGCGCCAACATGGAGAAATCCCAAATGATCCACTATTGAGTATGAAATACGTTCTCTGAAACATGTATGGAAGCGAAAACACCTTCCACTCACCTAACCTGATTGTGCACATGCATGCTTTCAGAGGTGAGGTGTTTCCCCTGTGAAAGCATGTTCTTCCTCCTGTTTGTTGCATTAAAGGCCCCATCACCAAGGGCACATAGGCATTGCTGCTTCGCCCTGCTTCGCCAGCAAAGGCCACGGTCAATGTGGCGAAAGGTGATCGATCTTGGCTACACAAAAATGTTGCCTGAAAACAACTCCTGGCACGGGGTACTGAAGGGACCTAACAAAAGACTCTCATGAATTGGGCCTAGCCCAAGGCCCAACCATCAACGACCCGCCAGGACAAAACGTCCAATCATCAATTTGCCAGAAGTTAGAAGGTCCGATCATCACTTTGACCCGGCCAGAGGCCAAAACGTCCAATGATCACTTTGACCCGGCCAGAGGCCAAAACGTCCAATCACCACTTTGACCCGGCCAGAGGCCAAAACGTCCAATCACAACTTTGA